ACTTGCAGTCACAGTTCCTGAATGCAAATGACTTGCCTCACCCCATCCCATCCAGGGGAACATTTAGTTAGCAGGATTACGTTTCAGGATCATTTGAGCAAAAGGCTAGATTTATTAAAATATTACTTCCTACAGCTCCCGTCACACTGGGATCACTTCCAAGGGTTTTCGCTCTTTCAGAAATGAATGTTTCAGGCAAGGCTTGATTGGTCTTACAGATGACAACAACAAAGTCATCTGAATTGAATTCTACTCAGTGTATGTAAAAGCATTTATTATCTGACCAGATATACTTACATAGTGTATATACTGATCAATATAGTTATTTTTAAATTAAACTAGATGAACAGGAACATCTTAGGTTGTTGTATATATGACAGATAACAGATAATTGGAGTTGGAAGGGACCTTGTAGGTCATCTAGTCCAACCCCCTGCCCAAGAAGGGGACCCTATGCCATTTCTGACAGATGGGAGTCCAATCTCTTCTTGAAAGTCTCAAGTGATGGTGCTCCCACAACTTCCGGAGGCAATTTCTGTTCCTTTGGTTGATTGTTCTCCCTGTCAGAAAGTTTCTCCTTATTTCCAGGCTGAATCTCTCCTTGTTCAGTTTCCATCCATTATTCCTTGTCTGGCCTTCAGGTGCTTTAGAAAATAGATTGACCCCTTCCTCTCTGTGGCAGTCTCTCAAATATTGGAAGACTGCTATCATGACTCCCCTGGTCCTTCTCTTCCCTAGACTAGCCAACCCCATTTCCTGTAATCGTTCTTCCTATGTTTTAGCCTCCAGTCCCCTAATCATCCTGGTTGCTCTTCTCTGTACTTTTTCCAGAGTCTCAACATCTTTTTTATAATGTGGTGACCAAAACTAGATGCAGTACTCTAGGTGTAGTCTTACTAAGGCTTTATAGAGTGGTATTAGTATCTCCCTTGATCTCAATTGTATCCCTCTGTTAATGCAACTTAGGGTTGCATTGGCTTTTTTGGCTGCTGATATATTTTTTGGCTGCTAATATATTTATTACAGATAGTCCTTGACTTGCAACAGTTCATTCAAAGTTACGACGACCCTGGAAAAAGTGACCGATACCTGTTTTTCACACTTAACAACTGTTGCAGCCTCCCCATGGTGTCATGATCAATATTCAGATGCTTGGCCACTGGTTTCGCATTTATGACAGTCGCAGTGTCCGGGGGGGGGGGGGAGGTTTCATGAGATCCGCTTTGGCGCCCTTCTGACAAGCAAAGTCAATGGGGAAGGCCAGATTCACTTAATAACCATGTTACTAACTGAATAAATGCAACGATTCACTTAACAGTTGTGGCAAGTGAAATGTTGGGCAACGTTCACTTAACAGCTGTCTTGCTCAACAGCAGAAATTTTGAGCTCAATTGTGGTCGTAAGTCGAGGACTATCTGTTCCACACTTAATACAGGAGGAGGAGGAGAAGAAGAAAGCAGAAGCAGAAGAAATTCAGTGTATGGCAATAGCTTGATTGTAAAAGTTAGAATACATGAGCAGAGACCTGAAAAGGAAATGACCCACATAATAAGAGGTTGCTGAAAATTACTCTTTGGGTTTATTGCTCCAAAGGCTTTTCTCTAGAAATGAGAGAAAGGAAGAAGAATGTCTGGAGCAAAGGGAGTGAGAATTAGGAGCCTGCTCTGTATTTTGCAATAGGTCCTCTTATGGTTTTGGCTTTGCTTACGGTTGAATGTGGCTATTGTTTTTGCCTGGGGCTTCAGCAACTAGGTGTAAATTGAACTAAACCGTAAGCTGGAGGAACTCGGACCCCTTATGTGTTAGTAAATTAGCACTTCCCCCAGGTAAGACTTCTACCATGTGGCTTGAAGAGTGTTTGAATCAGCTCCTGCCAAAACAGTTTCAAGAAAAGCTCTTAATGGGGGAAAGTTTTTAGCGGCCAGGAAATGTCAATACTTCTTTTCCAAGAATGTACATATTTTATATGCATGTATTTGGCCGAAATGTTTAATTAGCTGTGGTTATCGTCGGTCCCTGAGATATTAGCAATGACTCTTAGACTTATATACTGTTTTATAGTGCTTTTACAGCCCTCTCTAAGCGGTTTACAGAATCAGCCTATTGCCCCCCAACAATCTGGGTCCTCGTTTTACCCACCTCGGAAGGATGGAAGGCTGAGTCAACCTTGAGCCTGGTGAGATTCGAACTGCCAAATTGCAGGCAGCCGGTAGTCAGCAGAAGTAGCCTGCAGTACTGTACTCTAACCGCTGCACCACCTTGGCTCATACAGCTGACAGGATTAGCAATAAGACATTCAACTTCAGCACAGACTGACTCTGAATTAACCCAAACCAGGAATTTTAATTATGGGTTTGATCACAATTTACTATACAAGCCATACTAGTATAATTGACCCATCACACTAAGCCACAATGGTGGTTTCAAATATCATACCCAGGCATAAACAAATCAACCACATTAACATTGGTGGCATTTGCGAATTAGGACATATGATGCTATTGGGTTGCATATGCAAATTGTTATCCATATTGCATGATCCACAAATTGCTATTTTTTAAAATAAACCCTTGTAAATTTCTGCTTTCCTAAACCCTCAAAGGAGCTTAGCATCAGAGCATACCAAATTCCTTTACCGTAGTCCTCAACTTACGACCATGACTCAGCCCAAAATTTCCTTGGCTAACAAACAAAACAGTTGGTCAGTGAGTTCTGCCCCATGTTTTGACCTTCCTTGCCACAATTCTTAAGTGAATTGTTGGTTGTTAAGTGAATCTGGCTTCCCCTCTGCTTGTCAGAAAGTGATCACATGATCCTGGGATACAGCAACCATCATAAATATGAACTGGTTGCTAAGCATCTGACTTTTGATCATGTGACCAGGGGTATCCTGCAATGGTCGTAAAACATGTTATAAGTCACTTTTTTTCAGTGCCGTTGTAACTTTGAGCAGTCACTACATGAATTGTTGTAAGTCGAGGACTACCTGTGTACCAAACTGTATATTGTCCCTTTAGCACAGTATAGGAAAACTGGGGAGTCCTATTAGTCTACCTCAATTGGTCTATACCAGGCTTGTCAAAATGGCGGCCTGTGGGCCAGATGCGCAGGCCACGCCCACCCTGGCTCCGCGAAGGCAAAAAAAAATCTTGTGATACGTCACAAGATGCGATTGAGTTTCACACCCATGACCTACACCTTTCACAGCTCTTTCTGAAACTGCACCGATCAAGGCCTTAAGCTCAGATTTTCTGCATAAGAGGCATGTTCTCCACCATAGTTTTAAAATACCTACTGCAATAGCTGTTACAAAGCTACTTTAGTTTACCTCACACAGAATACTCTACTCCCCACCTCCTTTTAGACAGATTAACAGAGTTGGAAGAGACCTTGTAGGTCATCCAGTCCAACCCCCCCACACCCAGCAGGAGACCCTACACCATTTCTGACAAATGGCAGTACAACCTATTCTTGAAAGCCTCCAGTGATGAAGCTCTCACAACTTCCAAAGGCAACTTCTGTTCCATTGGCTGATTTTTCTTACTGTCAAAAAAATCTTCCTTATTTCCAGGTTGAATCTCTCCCTGTTCAGTTTCCATCTATTATTCCTTGTCTGGCCTTCAGGTTCCTTGGAAAATAGCTGGACCCCCCTCCTCTCTGTGGCATCCCCTCAAATATTGGAACGTTGCTATCATGTCTCCCCTGGTCCTTCTCTTCACTAGACTAGCCATGCCCATTCATCATATGTTTTAGTCTCCGGTCCCCTAATCATCCTGGTTGCTCTTCTCTGCACTTTTTCCTAGAGTCTCAACCTTCGTCCTTTTGGGGTCTCCAATTCTTAAAAGTGGGGCTTAGACAGTAGGGTCACTTTGACATATCTTGCATATCAAAAGGGACAAGATCCAAATTAGACACAGCTCTGGGTAACTTTCTATCTTTTGGGGGGTGGGGGGGTGGGATAGAACCCCACCTTCTGCACCCTCCTAGCATTGCAGTATTTTCTAGAAGCTGTTTCTACACCGCAGCCATTCCTGAACTGACCTGGCCACTATACGTGTTAAATAATTACGTGATTATTACACAAATCTGCCCCCAATGAAATCCTAGTGTTGCTAGGGTATTTTGGTGACGAAAAGAAAGAAAAAGAAATCTGGCCATCTCATACTTCTCCAAAAGTAAGATGGATTTTTTTTTCCCCCTCTGGGAAATATAAAAGGCAACCTTCATTTTTTGCTGTTACTCATTGGATCACAGATCCATTAGAAGGAAAAGCCGAAATCTTATCCGTAGCTAAATCTATTGTAAGAATTCTTTTCTAGCCTTAGGACAGGAGTGTCAAACTCAATTTCACTGAGGGATACATCAAGGTGGTGTTTGACCTTGAGGGGCCGGGGTGGGGGTGGCCTGTGACCGGGGTGGCCATGGCTAGCTCAACTTAATGTCGGGAGCGCCGGTGGTGGCCCAAGCATTCTGCCAGCAAAAATGGGCTCCTGAGCTCCGCTTTCAGCTACAACTGCCTCCTGCAAATCCACTGCCAGTGAAAATGGAGCTTCGGAGGGCTGCATGTGCCCTTCCCGAGCTCCGTTTTCATGGGCAGAGGCACTGCGGGCCGGTCCTTCGCTGTTTCCAGTGTGGCCCCATAGGCCAGGTCTAAGCACCCCGTGGGCCAGATTTGGCCCACGGGCCCTGAGTTTGACACCCCTGCCTTAGCAGATACCAAGTGAGGTAGAAAATAAGTTACTCTGTCTTACTGTTTCCCTTTTACTCATCCTGGAGTTTATTTTAATAAAAAGAGCAGTTCATAGAAACAAGACATTTCCATTATGGTGGCTAAAACTGTGGTTTCTTTCTTTGCCACTCTCAAAATTGGAACAGTTGGATTTTTCTTGCTGACACAAGAACATTTCCAATTGAGCCTAAACAGAGAGAAACATATAATCCAGAAAAAGAAAGAAAAGAAACCCAACCTGGGGGAAAAGATAAAAACTGATTTTAATTACCTTCAGAATTATACAGGGATTTGCTCTGGTGTACATTATAATTCCGTTGCTTTGCAGAGTCCTCAGACGGAGACCCAATTTGAATTCTTCATTCTTGCTATTTTCAGAAACCCGGTATTTGATGTAACTATTCCCAGCAAAGCTCAGGGAAGTATGTCCTGAAATAACCGTTTAGAAAACAGATTACAGAGTTTTATTTTGTGCCTTCTGAAATCAAACATTGGAGATTATCCAATCCTTTACACCAAGGGGGAAAAGAAAGTTAATTAAGGAAGATGCTCGGTTATTAACAAGGCAGATAAGGAAGAATCTTAAAAAATAACAAACCACAGCTTTGACAGCTTAAAAAAACTGCCCCTGTAGTATGCACACCCTATGCCAGGGGTGTCAAACTCGATTTCACTGAGGGCCACATCAGGGTTGTGTTTGACCTCAGGGGGGAGGGAGGGCATGACCAGAGGGAGGCGTGGCCAGATTGATGTCACTCATGTTGGGGCGCCTGTGGTGGCCCGAGCACTCTGCCTGCGAAAATGGACTCCCAAGCTCTGTTTCTGGCTGCGATGGCCTCCTGCAACCTTCTGCCAGAGAAAATGGAAACCGCAAGGGCCATGTGCGCCCCTTCTGAGTTGTGTTTTTGCTGGCAGAGGCCCTGTGGGCTGGTTCTTCACTGTTTCCAGGGCAGTCACACAGGCCATCCACAGGCCTTGAGTTTGATATCCCTGTCCTATGCTGATAAAGATTGATGCACTAATAAAGCAGGATCTGTTCTTTCTAAGTAAGAATGATTGCCGTGCATAAAACAATATTAATCTGCTGGTAGTGAATGAACAAGACCGTAAGTCGAATATTGTGGGGTAGGATAGGGTTTTTTTTCTTATTGTTATTATAATGACAAAAGCAATGTTCGACCGCAAGCTCCATCCTTTCTGATGTGCTTGTGACGTTGTGATGCACGTCAAAATGGACAGGGCTTGCATCGCAACACATGAAATGGGACAACTCGCTACAGCCAACTCATTGCAGCCAACCTGCCATGGCCAATTCGTTGTGAGATTACTCGCTGCGTGTCAATTCAACAAATAGGAAAGTTAAATTAATTTTGAAGGAACTGTGGCCAATAATAATAATAAAGTAAAGAAAGTCAATCCAGAAATACAAGAGTTATGATAATTTTGAAGAAAACGTGGTTACCAATAATAAAAGTAGTTCAGTAAAACAATTAATTCATGTTGAGTTGGCTGTGGCGAGTTGGCCACGGTGAGCTGTCCTAGATCTGCAATACATTGTGATCCTGCTTCACTTCCACTCCTGGAGGACAACATTGTGGTAGTCTAGTAAACCTTGTGGCCTATTAAACCAGGCACAGATTGTTGCCCACATGCTATGTCCTTCCAAAACTTCCCTAACACAGCCGGGTTTTGCCATTCCAAACACTAAGGAAATTGGGATATTTTGGGAAGTCTTGTGTAAGAAATTGAAAGTCCTCATCCAAAGACTAGGGAGTGATTTTAGAATGACTTTTGTTGACTTTGCTATAAATGGTCTAGGATTACTGTACACAATAGATGTCATATAAGTCTTTTATATTGAGGTGTCCAAAGTTGGCAGCCTTAAGGCTTGTGGACCTCAACTCCCAGAATTCCCCAGCCAGAATGGCTGACTGAGGAATTCTAAGAGTTGAAGTCCATAAGTCTTAAAGTTGCCAAGTTTGGACATCCCATTTTAGAAAAATGGGTTATTGTGGTGGAATGTAGTCTGGATTCCCAACAGGGAGATGCTACATGCTGGAGGGCAAAGAGACAATGAAGTTTCAATAGTCTGGTTGGGGAAAACCAGTTAAAATTGCTTCTCTCTAGCAATTCTCAGAGTATATCTTTAATTACGAAAGTGGACGCTTTAGTTTGGCAACACTGATGTAAAGCGCCAAGAATCAAGAAAGACATGTTGAGTTACTTCTAAGCAGTTTCAGTTTAAGTTAAGTCTAAGTTAAAGGGCATGCATAAGTGTACAATTGTGCCTACTGTCCCTGTCCTATTGTCCCCATTTATTCCTACCTATTTCCTGTACTCTTACTCATGTTTATACTGATACCTATTACCTTGTAAGCGATTGACAAATCAAATAAATAAATAAAATAAATAAAGTTTCCTCAACAAAAATCTTCCCAAATAAAAAAATACCTACTTGTATCATTAAAGATATACTGTCAGAACTGCTAGGGAGGAGCTGTCTTAACTCTCGTTCTCCCAACCAAACTATCTAAACTTCACTAAACTTCAACCAGGAGATTGTGTCTCTTGGTTCTTTGGAATGCAGCCCTTCCTCCTGGGAATCCAGACTACATTCCACCACAGTCTTTCTGTCATGTTGAACTCAAGAGTGTTCAGAAGAAAAGACTGACAGCACTTAAAGACTTAACCAAGAAGCAAATGGTGTACCTGAGCATTCTCCAAGTTTTCCAGGTGGACATTGACAGATGAATAGTCTCTGGTTGATTTCATAGCCTACACACTGCATATCTCCTGGGCAAGGCTTTTCTGTGCAAGGATCGTTAGAGCCTGGACACAATCCTCCTGTTATACACATGAGAAGGTAAGAAACAGACTCACTTTATCCACATTCAAATTCATCATCATCATCATCTTTTAATGACTCCATAATCCCTTGTGAGGTGGAGTCTGGGCAACTGAATGGAGAGCTGAGTGTTTACTGGCCGAATGCCCTTCTTGTTGCCAATGCGGAGTTTTTTAGAGCAGATATATTCTCATTTGTGCCCAGAGAGAAAAATATCTGCCTCTACCTAAGATCAAACTCACAGCATCCTGATTGTGAGGCCAGAGCTCCACTTCTAGGCCACCGCACCACTCATCCCATTCCAAGGCAAGAAGTTCTTAATGTCCATTAACTTTTCACTTATATGATCCTCAGACCAAACAAAATTATAATTTGATTCCTCTGAAGACATGAACATTTCTAAAGGCAGCGAAGGCTGAAAGAGTGGAAAAGCTGTAAAATGATTGCTTTTCTCCTGATCAACATTCCCCTCAGCTGACTCCGCATTATCAGTATAAATCAAACCTGAAATCTAAGTTGCTTTGGAGATCAGGAAAACAAACAGCAAAAAGTAACATACAATCAAAATGCAATTAAAATAACAAAACCCAAATCTAAATAAAAGAACCAATACATAGTTAAATGAGCCTGAAAATGCAGCTAGAATCTGTAAGATTGAATGGAAGATGCCAAGTAAATAAATTAATGAAAAAAGGTTGAATGAATTGCAAATTACAACAGTACTGGGATAAGTCTGGTTTACTTTGGCCATGTCATGCATGCAAATTTATTGGAGTAGTCAACAATGCTAGGAACGAACAAGGAATGTGAGGATCTCAGAACAGAACAGCAGAGCTGAAAAGGACCTTAAAGGTCATCTAGTCCAACCTTCTGCTCAAGCAGGAGACCCAATACCATTCCAGACAAGTGGCTGTCCAGGCTCTTCTTAAAAGTCTCCATTGATGGAGCACCCACAACTTCTGAAGGCAACTGGTTAGTTGTTCCCACTGTTAGGAAGTTTCTCCTTCATTCTAGGTTGCTTCTGTTCCATTGGTTGATTAGTTCATTCCATTTGCCCATTTGGTTGGTGGAACAAGAAGAAGGGGCACCAATATAGGGCTTGATAACATCAACGCTAATACCAAGATGAATATCTAACAACTGAAAGAAGCTGTGCTTGACGGTGTAGCATGGAGAGGACTTGCCTAATAAAGTTGCTGAGAGTACGACATGACTGAACGGTTAAAACAACAACACACAGCAACACAATACTGGGAACTATCTGCCTAATCTAAGAAGGTGGATTTGGCTAGAAAACGGCCTCTGAAGGAAAATGAAACTAAAGTGATGGCTGGTTTATGGCAGTTTTCCTGCACTTACATCCATTGTAGCATCCCCAATCATGGTCACGTGAATCAAAATTCAGACATTTGGCAACTGGCTCATTTATTGAGTTGCAATATCTCAGGGTCATATCATCACCTTTTTAAACCCTCTGACAAGCGAAGTCAGTTGGGAAGCCACTTAACAACCATGTTACTAACTTAACGAGTGCAGCGATTCACTTCACATCTGTGACAAGAGAAGTCACAAGATGGGGGGCTAAACTCATTTAACAACTGTCTTTCTTAGCAACAGAAATTTTGGGCTCAACTGCAGTTGTAAGTCAAAGACTACTTGTATAGACCTACCAAGGTCTTAAATGTGAGGATTGTTCATAAAATTGCTTTCCCATCATTGCTACAACTGTTGCTAAACAAGGCAGTCGCCAAATGAAAATTACCTCAAAACATTATAATTTCATAGAAGGCAAATAGTCTGCCACAACTATATGATACAAAGGTTAATATTTTAGCCCAGATGAGCCTGACTTGATTATCAAATTTTTCTTTTCAGGGAAACTATATATATAGTTTCCTTGAAAATAAGACTGGGTCTTACTGTATATTAAATTTTGCTCCAAAAGACGCATTAGAGCTTATTTTATGGTTAGTTCTTATTTTGAGGAGAACATGGTACTAAATGTGTCTGTCTGTCTGACGATCTTAACCGAGGCTTATTTTTGGAGTAGTGCTTATATTACGAACATCCTGAAAAATCATGCTTAGGGCTTATTTTCTGATTGGATCTTATTTTTGGGGAAACACGGTACACATAGGAATATCAAGTAAAGTCTTTGAATGAAAGACTTTTTATATTTATGGAATTAATTTGCCAGTGTATCATTTATTTTTTTTGGGGGGGGGGGTATTTCCCAATTTAGTCAATAAGCCTGATCTTTTCTAGTATCTTCCACCCAAGCACAAAGCAAAATCAACCCTATTTGGCTTTTTGAGATCAGGTCAGTTTGGTGCTACCATTTAATGGGTGTAGAAATCTAATAACCAGTCAATAAACAGATTTTAGCCTCATTATCAAGGTTGTTTTCTCCCTTGCAAATATTATCAAGCGGATAAACATTACGGAATCAGTCCTTATTCTCACCATGTGTTTCTGAAATAAGCTCAGAGAATTGAATAGCAGGGTTATAACGTATTTGCTCCCCAAACCAACAATGAATACAGTCTCTTTAGAAATTTTTGATTATCCAGCTGATTACGCTGACATGTTTCATGTATCATGATATCACATCAATACTGCCTACAGATCTGTACGCACAGGATATTTGTTTTCAGAACACAATTAAATTTTAGGTCACGTCAGGCAATAATTCTCAACAAGTTTCTTTGTGGCTGACAGAGAAACAAGTTAGGTAGACAAAAAAAAAAAAGCCACAAATATACAGTTGGCTTGTGGGAAGTCAACTCTGCTGAGATTTTGGAACAGAGCACCACATATTTTCACAATTTTTTAACCTTTGGTAAAATCTTGACACAAAGCAGTGAAGTCGAGATGCAGCCTTGTAATCAATCATTGTCATGTTTTAGTTGTTTCCTACTTGAGACATGAGTGAGTTCCTATGAGGCCAAGAGGTATGTAGGAAGAAGCTAATAATTCAATATGACAGCTCTGTATGACACAACATTCCAAGACAACTATCACCATGCCCTGGCACCTCCCAAGTGTCTGATAATGCCAATCTTTCCATCATTTCAGGCAGAAGGCAGAAATGGAGATGGTGTGTCAAGAAAAATGCTGTCAAGACTTCTGTGGGCCTTGAATGGAAGAATTCATGGGCTCTGTTGAGGCAGAATGTCCACAGATCTGAAGTACATTGGCTGCAGAGCAAAACAGTTGTTAGACAAACATCTCTATGATGGTAGAATCCCTTGGAACCGAAAGGTGCTTTTTCAGGAGGCAACTGGACTTTCTTGTTTCTTCTTTCACCAATCCTTTGGGACTCATAGCAACCAGATCCTATGTGAATTAAAAAAAAAAAATCCACGCTAGCCCCAAATATATAAGAAGCTTCTTGGATGAGAAGCAAAACATCTTCAAGGGGAAAAAAAAACCAAGAAAGTCCAGTTGTCTTTTGAACACCACTCTTTGGGACAACCGTGGCCTGGAAGACTGACAATCTCCATAGGCAGGTAAATAGTGTAGGTAAATAATTATTCCTTAAAGATTTAGTTTGACTTAATGATTATCAAAACACTCCTCTGGCTATTTCATGAAGGGCTGTGAAATGTGGCTGGTTAAAGTGTTGAAGGAAAAAAATCCAGCTGTTCCGACACCTCTGTGTTGCATGTGTTTAAGTTTTTGGAGTAGGCCACAGCATTCTACCGAGTAGTAGTAGCAACTTTTTTGAGATGGACGCTTTTATGTGATTTTGAGCAATGGCGCATGAGGGAAAAGCTTCAATTTTTCAAAGACTCCGGTCCTATTGTAAGGATATCTTGGGGGAGTATGAAAGAGATCTGCTGGCCATGTTATAGATCATGGGTGTCAAACTCAAGGCATCGAGCCCATGGGGTACTTAGATTTGGTCCGCGGGGCTGCCCTGGAAACAGCGGACTGGCCTGCGGTGCCTCTGCCAGCAAAAATGTAGCTCAGGGAGGTTGTGCTCTGTTTTCATTGGCAGAGGGCTGCAGGAGGCCGTTGCAGCCCAAAATGGAGCCTCGACGAGTGATGTCAAGGTGGCCATGCCCCCCACACATGTCCCCGGTCACGCATTTCCCCCCCCCAGCCAAACACAACCCTGATGCGGCCTTCAACAGAATAGAGTTTGATACCCCGTTGTAGATTTTTGAAATATACCAGTCAGATCTGTCATGAACATTTAGAGGGTTGCCCAGAATTCAGGCTTAAACCTGGAGTATCCAGATCACAATACAGTGGATCCTCTGGTCACGAATTTGATCACGACCAAATCAGGTTCTGACCAAAAAATCCACAACATTTTTGAATCAGGTCACAATTAAAAAATTGGGTGGTGATCAAACACAGCAGCGGCTGATTCCCTTTCCGCGCCATTGTTTTTTCTAGGCGCATGCACAGTCAGTCTCGCTTCCAGCCATGACCAAATTGGATTGCGACCGAAGTTACGGAATGAATTACGGTCGTGGCCGGAGCTTCCAGTGTAGATGGATGTATGAAAAAAAATAGCTTCCCTTGAATAAAATTGAATTTATTTTAGCTCAGGGTTCAAATGAATGAACACAGACTAACACCAAGATCAACAGCAGACCAACAATCAAGAAGTAAATAATATCCCACTCAAGGAACTGCCAAACAACCTAACAGTAAACAGCCCAATCACTCCCACCAACAATCATAGGGCAAGCCATTAGAATATGAACTGAGAGCAAACCCTTCTGCCTACTAGCGCTGATGATGTTACCTAGTATGGGTAATGGAATCTCTGCAAGAAAACAACCAATCTCAGAGAGCACCAAGGACCTCTGAATTCATTTTGCTTACATGCACCTGAGTATGTTATGTTTTTATGAAAAAAAAACAAACTAGAAATGATTTGCCACTGTTATAATTTGAGGCTTCTACATTCATGCGTTTCCCATTCAAGTGCTAACCAAGTCTGCCCCTGCTTAGCTTTTTTGAGATAGTCAAGATTGGTTTGGTT